CTTCTTCCATGACTCTTCTGTTAAATTTTCAATTTTCTACTGACCACTATTCCAAGAGAGATTGTCCATTTAATCATTTTGCATATTCTTGTGCTCAATTATTACTGTTGTGTTTGGTCTAAAGGCAAGCTTAAGAAATATTAAGTACTTATCTGACTCTTAATAATTAATTCAGCACTTGCTGTTAGGTAGTATTCTAGTGCATCGAGATTTGCTACCACTCGAGTTTCTCTATAATATAATAATAACAACCACTCAAGCAGAATCACATGTTTTGTACAACTCTGCTTGAAGATTTATACTGTACAAAGGAATTATTATTTGTGAACACTGATCAAGCTTAAGATTCTTAACTGAAAAGCAATGCTAAATCATTACAAGATAGCTCTCCAATTAAGAATCACAAACTCGTGATGCACATTTGTTGACTGAGATTTATGTGTATTCATTGTGTGTAATATAATGAATAGCTCAATTAACTAAGGTACATCACTGTTCGTCCATAATGAGATGATATTCCAAAACAGTTCTGGCTTATGGTTATTTGATGCAGAGGGGAGTTCCAGTTCTTTAAGAAAACTGATATTTCCTTTAAAAGAACAACCAGATAGATCACCACACCTTTAATAATTAAGCTTGCCTACAAATTTCCCCTAATTTAAACTCACCAAAATTCCTCCATGGAATATAATTACAAATTGAGGATTTTGTCATCATAACTGAAAGAATTTTCAAGACTAGTTTGGTGCACTATGTAGCATTCTTATTCTAGAAGAAGAATGCTGTCCAGACAACTGTACTTCTGTTAAAGTGACCACACCTTCCTGCTTTTACACATAATTCATGAGAATTTTTACAAAACTATTTTGAGGTTTGTTTGTTTTTTGCCAAATTTGTTAAAAATCAAGAACACATATTGGGACACGTATCATTATATTACAAATCCCTTTGTTGGGGAAGATGAATCAAACTAGGAATCTAAAATGTTTTTTAAAATGTTAACATTTTGCTATCTTTACCAAGCATTTTGTATATTGGTTCTTTTCTTTTGAACATATGTAAAGAAGCCTCTTTCAATACCCTTAGCATCCTTTGCTCAGGTGTTTCTGAGCTTTTGCCTTCTTCATTCCTTTTCTATTATTGTGTTTAACTGCTATTTCCTCCAACTACCAACACCACTAAAACTACCTGCTTTTCAGATCTTTATTAACCCTTTTAATAGGTTTAGTTTTAATTAAAACTATTAAGTTTTTTTTCTCATATTGTTTTCTTTCTTTTTTCTTTTTGCTAATTGGAACTGTGCCTTCTGGATTGCCTTATCTAGTTCCCCTGTCCATATTCAGCTTCTTTCTGATTAGCCTCTCCTACAAAGCCCTGAATTAATTAACATATCTTTTTTTCTGAAAAAAACAAAACAAAAAAAACAAGGCACGTGATCTCATTCAGCTCTCAATTCCCTTAAAACTATTAACTCCAGCATTATATGGTCATTTTCTCACAACTACATGTTTCCTCCTACCTCCTCAACTAAGTCTTCCCTACTGATTAAGATGAAGTCAAATATAACTAATCCTATTGTGTCTTCCTTCACCCTTTGAAGGAGAAAGCTGTCAGCAACACAAGTCAAGGATTCCTGGAGAGACTGGACTAGATCAAATCTGTTTCACAGCAGATACCAAAGTAATTACTACATTCAACTGCTAAGATTTCTTCTCTTTTTAAAGATCTGCAATTTTCTTTCAAAAGGCATCATCCATATCTATTTGGTTGGGTACATGTTAATGGACAGCAACAGCAGCATTGCTTTTATTTATTCTTTCTTGCAATAACTGTATCAAATAATTCATCTGGATTTCAGAGAAGGAATGAATATGTGTAACATTTCTGCCTCCTTTTCAATTGTTTCTATTATTTTGAACAAATTGCATCCGCTTTCATAATCACTGCTGGATAAAATATCTGCATTTAAAATTACTATTCTATCTAGAATTCTGTTTTTGTTTCAAATACCCCTAATGCGGAAAACAATAAAGAAAAAAGGAACTGAAATCAACACATGGCTTCTTATTGAGAGATTGCACTTATCAACTATATGCCTCACAGAGTACTTTATGCTACTTGTATTCTCGATTTTAATTCAAAAATGGGGAACAGAAGACATTTCATTGCCAAACTACTTAAATGAATTAAATATAAATCAGCAAGGCCACAAACTCCCTACCAAATTTAAAATTATCAAATTGCATTCACATTTCAGATAACGTAAGATAAATGCACAATCTTTATTCAGTGTTAAGCAAATGTTACTGGATGGCTACAGCAGTCAGAGTTTGAACATCTGGCCAAATTTTAAATGGAAAAATTATTGCCTGTGACAGTGTATGTGCAATTTTGAGATTAGAAAACAGCTAGGAGTTTCAACTAAATAGAAAGCCCTTGCAGTTGTCATAATAAAATAGTCTATGTTTGGTTTAATAGGGCACTCATTAAATACACTAACTGCTTTACTGGATGTCAGAAATGTCAAAACTAATCTGCCTGAATTAAGAGAGATATTGCCAAATTTAAACAGGGGGATAAACTGCATTCAGTTTGTAAATTAATGGCAAAGACTGACTGCTTATGTTTTAACGTATGATTTGCTGGCAAGACTATTAATCCTGAGGAATGAAATACACACGATACAAACATGGCAGTAAAATAATTACATCCTGAAAATGCTCAAGCAACTGTTAAAAAAAATTCACAATCCTCAGATCCTTTCAATACATTTTTATATCCTGACTAGGGAGAAAGGCTAGGCAATGCATAATGATTGAATACAATTGGCAGATTATTCTACAGAGATTATTCTTCCTTTGTTTTCTCTTTATTATGCAGGATTTTAAACCCCAACTATTCAGCATACTATTTTTTCACATTACTGGAAAATACATGAATTTCTTCAAAATAATAGCACATTTCAAAAAATAACTATGGTTTGGCCACAATACATAATATTAGAGACTCAAAGACTCTGAATATCCATTTTAATAGAAGTTATTTCATACAGAGTGCATAACAAATGTTAGTAGTTGATGAATGATTAATAAAGTCAAGAGTAATTTTAACCTTAACAGAATTAACTTGATGAACAGAAACTGAAGTTCTTGGGTCAGATAATTGTCAATATTTTTAACTTCACAACTGTTTTCTTCTTTCATCAGCAATTCGTGATATATGCTTTCTCTGTAAATTGCAACTTGAAAAGCCATTTTAAAATATTTTATACAAAGCAAATTATCCAGAATATTTGAATATACACATTGTCAAAGGCAGGAGGAAAATATGTTGGCCAAATATATTCCAATTAATGCTAATAATTAACTATATGTTGTAGTTATACAGAGTGAATGTGAATAAAATTTATAAGTCTAAGATACAATGTTAAGAGTAAAGACTTGCTAGATACCAATTAGGATTGTGAAATGACAAGCACAATACATCTTGAACAGTGGAGCTACACTTAATGGTTTTAAGTGGAAAAAAGCAGTGGCCATGTCAACTTTAACTGGTAGTTCATATTACAAAATATGCCTTTCTCATTAGACTGTATTTCCCTGGGCTTCACACTTCTTCAGAAGAGAAGGTGAAGAGAAAGAAGTATTGTTTGTTACTACAAATGCACTAATCACTAGTGTTAATAGGTGCCTTCATATTTCTTAGAAATGTATTCTGAATATGCTCAAAATTGATGTAGATCAGTGGTTCTCAACCTTTTTAATGCCACGACCCCAACCGGTCGTAAGTCGAGGACTAAACCGGTCGTAAGTCGAGGACTAAACCGGTCGTAAGTCGAGGACTACCCAACCGGTCGTAAGTCGAGGACTTTCCCTGCCCAGGAGAGCTGTGCATGCGTGGTTCCGCCCCCACCAGCCGAGGCGTAGCTGGCAAGCGGCAGAGACGGAGCAGGCCGACCACCAGCTGGCCCAGCCCAAGGGAGGTAAGGCACCCACCGGAAAAGGGGGAAAAATGGCAGACAGCCTTGCTTGGCGACCCCCGTGAAATGGTCAATCGACCCCAAATGGGGTCCCGACCCACAGGTTGAGAACCACTGATGTAGATATTCTAAAGAATAGAATTATTTGCTTGATCAGAATTCAGTTTAGTTTTGGACTTAGTGATATCAAATATCAGCAAGAGGTTCAGCAGAGCCAGAATAGCCAATTCTCTCAATTCAAATGCCACCACAACTGACTAAAGATAATTCACTCCTTTGGCCAAGTCTGAAACATTTCTGTCAGGGATCTAAATACAATTTATATAAATACAATGAATTAAACATTATTTTCGAGAATGAGGTAAATTCTAAGTTATGCATAAATAATTTTACATTTAGAATATTAAAAGAATATAGGATAGCAAATTAGACTGCATTATCTATTACCTTTAGCTTGTTAACCATTAACTGCAGACAATGCTTCATCACTAAGAAATCCACTGATCTAGGAGTATTAAACTCCACAATTGCAATTTCATGTAATAGAATTGTTGGGCTACTTTACACAAATCTATATATTTATGGATTTAAACTATATCAAAAGAAGAAAAAAAACAATGTTAGGGTTAATATTATTATTTTTGAAATGATTTATATGAAAGGCTTCTACTTTGTCCAAAGACTTTTTAAAAGCTCTAAAAACAATACAACTCAAGAGTATTTACATTCTCCAGAAAGCTATACTATTATTTAGATTTATATGGTTACCCTTCAAAATCAGATTTCAAGGCAGCTTTACAATATATGAAAATCAAGCAAAAAGAAAAAAGAAATCAGGATATATATATAATAAAACATAGCTGTTTTGCTAATGTATTCTTTTATTTAAAATGAAGTTTATATGGTCTCCCTTAAAGTATGATAGCCAAATTTTTTGTTAATCTGGCCTCTATTTTTCCTCAACACTTTTAAAAATGGCACTTCAGTATCTTATAAGAAAAATAAACTTTTCTATACTCACCCGATCTGCTGATCCAACTTCTTCACCAGCTAAGCAGATAGGAGAGGCCATCTCCAGAATTGATAAATTAGATGGAGCATCAGTAGTAGATGAGGATCTGGGACGGCCTGAATTAATATCTTGGACAGACTTCCTGTTGATCTGAGGACTTCCTTTTGGAGGATCTGACTTGCCCCGTCTGTTATGAAGGCTTGTTCCTCTCTTCATTTTAGGTGGCACTCTGATTTGTTGGAGAACTCTATTCAGAGCTGTAGGGTGGGTAGAAATACCATCAATTTCAGCACAGCAGGTGTTTTGGTTTTCCAATTCTGTTTCAGGTTCCATATCAACCTGAGCTTGTTGAACATCATGTGGAGATACTGACGACCTCCTACGCTGATGCTGGAAGAGGTGCTTCAAACCTTGACCAATTACATTAATGTTCTCCAAGGCATTGTAGGTAATTTTTGACAGCTTTTGTTCAGATTCATGCTGCCTTTTGTTTTCTGGATCTTGAGTTTTGTTTCCAACATCAGGGTCATCATACGGTTGTTCACCACTAGAAGGCTCCATCAGGTGACAACTCAAGTTTATTTGATAAGTCAAACACAAATGTGTTGAGTCTTTAAATTTTGTTTTTGTTTTTTGCTAAAAAATGCCAAGATTGTCAGCCAATAAAGTGTGCAATTGCTTCAATTGTGTATATACATACAGCTGTGCCACGCTGGTCTCATGCTTATCTAATGTTAAAGAAAAACCTAAAGTTATCCATCATGCACAGATTAATATATATCCATGTGAAAACATGCAATTAGTTTACTCTTCCCTCAAATTCTAAAGCACCCTATGAAGCATCTTTTTACCATGGAGATTTAAATGTATTATCTATTGAGGGCAGAACATACAACTTATGTAAAATTTGTTTTTATTAAGAAAAATGTCCAAACAAAGAACTGAAAACTATAAGCCATGTTTCTCTGAAAAAATGCTATTATGCTAGAAGCAGAAAAAAAATCAAAACGATATGAAATAAAACTGAATTTTATCTCATAATGTAGGAAATATCTAGTGGTATAACATTGCCAAAAAATTAAACAATGGTGAAAAACATATTTTCTCATGTTTTGGTAAAACACAAACATTGAACAAACTGAAATATGTAAAAAAAATCTATCATTAGTGTCTTAAAAATATTATACGTATTGTTTTTAAATATGTTTGTATTATGAATATTAAAAAGTATAATTAATTCCAATAATTAAAATGCATTGATTTTATTTTTATTTATTGTGAGAAATGATGCTACAAATAATATAACATCTGTTCATTTTTGATTAGGAGAAGCAGGCAGATAGGCAAACAATGCTGAGAAAATGTAAAATTATTATCAATCTTATCAAGGCACATATTCAAAAAAATAAAGCCAACCCCTACAAAAAAGTTTTAATTTTCAGAGGAAACAAAGCTACACTTACATTTAACAGATTTGTTTTCAGAATCTGCATCTGAAATGCTATTAGCAGTTTCTACTTCTAATTTTTACCTTTTGATGGATTTTGCAAATTTCTTGCAAAAATTTTGCAACCATTTCAAAGATTATCTGCCATCACGTTGTTTCCAACTCATATATAAGGCGTTTATATTTCTAGTATAATGTATTTCACATATTAACCATGTAAAGCATTAGTGAAAAAGGAAAGGAATATATACTTATTCTTTAAATTTATTTTTGGAATTTAGTTTTGGGGGAAAAAAATAATAAAATGTCTTGAGGGAAAAATGAATAGAGAAAAAAGGACAATAATTTTCTCCCAAATTTCTCAGGTTTTTTTCCCCTTCTCTCAGGCTTGTACATCTCTCAAATGGTATCCTTTGGTACAACTATGCTAATACAGTAGGATGGCTAAGCAATAAATCGTTCTTGTTCAGATTCACTGGATCCACCTACAAGCTGGTATGGCTAGTGAACAATTTGTGGCCTAATTAATTATGCTTAAAGCTCATCTATAATTCCTGACAGTTAGAACAATTAACCAATGGAACAACCTGCCTCCAGAAGCGGTGAATGCTCCAACACTGGAAGTTTTTAAGAGGAGACTGGACAGCCATTTGTCTGAAATGGTGTAGGGTTCCTGTAAGCAGTTCTCCTTACAATGACAAGAAAATGGGGGAAGCAGCATTTTTCTGGCCATCTTTTCCTTTTACCAAGCTTGGAGTGTCAGGATGACTAGGGCGTGGAAAAGAAGTGAAGAGAAATGAACCAACACTACTGCTTGAACTGTAGTAGCTTGCCCGAAAAAGCTGCCTCTTGGTTTGACTACAGCTTCCATCACCTCACTGCCATAGATCAGACTCTGCAGATAATCTGTAGAGTAGTTCTGTCACCTGTTTTACTGGAAATCTGTTTCTAATTCAAAGATCAGGTTCTGACAGATAGCTATACGCAGGGGTGAAAACTTGCCTCCTCTCTCAGCTCCAGCCTCACCCCATATTATGAAAAATTCTGGTGGATGTTTATCCTACAAACAAGAAATCCTCTAACTGCTTTCCTTAAATTATCCTTAAACTTCCAATGAAAATGTAAAGACAGTAGCACTCGCTGGCTTCATTACCGAGTATAACAGGAGACATCAAATTATGCTTGCATATTTTTGTGCCACTTCATAGCCTGAAGGAAAGACCATTAAAACAACTGTTGGGATAAACTCTTACTGTGAATGTGAGCAGCGGTCTTGGCCTTATCCATCCAGAAAAACTAGAATATGAAGCCATTGTTTGTTGTTAATGATGTCTTCAGGTAGATGAAACCAGAATTTTTGTACATTTATTTAATTCATTTGTTATGTTAATAGCTTAGATAACCAAGTCATTGACCCAAATTAGCCATACTTGTAGGCAAAGTCAGCAGGTTTACAAGGGCAGGTTTACTGCTAAGCCAAAATGGAAGTATAAGTGGATCTAATTCAGAATTTTAGGAACAAATTTGTTCTTCAGGAAGTTCAGGCAGGAGAAACAGACTAACAGTATAAGTAGAAAAAAGAGCCAGGCAAAGCTAAAGCAAAACTGCTAGAAAGGAAACTTACTCGAAGCAGTGAAAACTACCTAAAGATCTACACATTTAGTTTAATCTGGAAGATCACATGCAAAACACTTTATAAAATGATAAAACATTTTGTATAAATGTTAAATGTTTTAAATTTTGACAAAATGCAGTTTTAAGCTATATCCATAAATATACTTATATTGGAGAAAATATCTAATAGATAGATCATGTGATTATGATGGCCAAAATGGCTGTGTGCATCATATGCAGCCAATTTATTTAC